GATCGTGACGTGATTATTCTCGTTACCGATAAGGAATTTACGGGTGACATTGTGCGAGAACTGCGTGATTTGTTCAGGGGGTATGAAGGAGTACGTAGGGAAACGGTACAGCGGAGATGAAACTGGTACGATACGAGATGATCGACGGAAGAATCCAGAAAGGGACCCAGAAAGCGGCAACAAAATGCAAACGCGAGAAGCAACCCCTTAAACACCTGTATACAACACCGATCTGCTGTATTAGTGATAAGATAACTAATGAATCAATCGAAGTCGTAGAAAAAAAATCAGACTGCGCAGAATATTTATACTATATCGAGAAAATCTGTATCTGCGTGTGAATCATTGCGTAGCGAATTGCACTGACGATTCGAATTAATTAAATTGCCATTTCCCCAGATTCCTTATTCTACGTACGACATGCAGGACCATTAGTTAAAAGATTTAGCTGGATTTAGTATATACCTCTTTCGTAACAGCAGAATCAGAAAAAGGGACAAAGAGAGTTAGTCTGCAATTCGTAAAGATACTTTAGATAGGATTGTACATTTTAACTTTTGAACTCTTTGCAAATTACATCCAGTTTTTTATCCGAAGTCTTGTAACGTTAACACGGGAACGACGAAATATAATAGGGAGAGAATTAATAGATGAGAAGTTAGCTAATTCAGTGTCGGTGTAACTGATTCTGGTCCGTCCTCTTGGAACAACGTGGCCGACAATGATCGAGAGACACGGCAAGACGCGCGAAAGACCTGCCGGCCAATTTTTTTCCGGCGGCCAAAGGTGTGCGTTAGGAAGGATATTGCTCAATATTTGCCAACCCGAACGCAACAACTCCGCAACATACATCTCGCAATTAACGCCGCGCAACGTGCATCCTGCGTCGAATTATTTGGACGATTATTAGCTAATTATCACCTTGCGCTCCATCGTCACAGGATGACGCGATCGTCGAATCACCGCACTTCATCGTCTCTTCATCACCGCGATTACCGAGAAATCGAACGTTTTGCGATCAAGGTGACGAATCGGCGATTTCGCGATCGTTCAACGTCATTAATATTTGCAAATAATTTTTTAACGCGATTGATGGATCGAAAGAGAAAGAGGTAATGAAAGAAGATTGCAAATAATGCGCAAACGTAACTCGAGTCTTGTCGTTTGAAAACAATGTCAATACGAAATCGATGCGACGATTCATCGTAAAAGCTTCGTACGTCATCTTGATCGTTTCTCAAATGCGATCGTCGGTTTTGCGATATTTATCATAAACTTACTGCACGAGCTCGCCGTGCCTTACGAACAACGCAAATACCTGGGAGTCCGAATTCTCTCCGAAATATCCGGGATAACTGAACGGACGTCTAAAATCGCTGTCAGATGACTTTCAGATATCCGTTGAATTCCATTCGCGTTGTTTGGATCACGGGGCTCGATGCAATTACATATCTTGCTTTGAAAAAGGCCTAACAGCTGACATGTTCGTATATATGCGTATTTCTTATTTTATACGCTTCAACCCTTTCTGTTAATCCGATCTGCGGATGCAGACTGGCTCGACAAGGCTTTCATATCAACCCTCGGATGTGGCCTCCACTCCGATGAATTTTCTCTGGCTCGAAGATCGCCAAGAGATCGTGTTTTCTTCAAAGCGCATTGCCGATTATCGATTGAAAGATTTGGAGAATAAAATTTATTAATTAAGAATAGCCTCCAGTGGCAAGATAAGCATTAATAAGAATCGATATTCTATATTTGACTGTTTTCTAATTCGTAAAAATTCCTTTCGTTAAGTTAGCTAGGTAGTAGTTAAGTAAGTAATTAGAGAATTATTACAAATTGTTAATAGATAATTAGAGATGAATTATGTACATGCTACAACAACTTGTCTCTGTGCAAGATCGCGATTTGATAATTGTGTCGATAATGATATACGTGTTCGCACTTTTTTGCAAATATCGCGGAAGAAAAAGAGCGGTAATTAATATTGGCGTATTTCGCGATCGGCATCTCGTTAATCCTATGATTTGTTGGTAGCAATATTAGTGTAATGAGCGACGTGGACATTTATTACTACGATCGACGAATATTTGCCTTGCTATTGAAAAGAGGTAAGGCCGAATCGCGCTGCTTGTTAACCGTGAAGCGACGCGGTCGATCGCATCCGGGGGTTGAAACGCGCGCGGCGAAAAAGCATATCTTATTTATTTTCCACCGTCATTCACACATACACATATGCAATCCGGAGCACGTATAGGGAAAATAATAATTACCTACACAATAAGAGTATACTAAGGCGAATGATAACGATTGATAATGAACATTACAATTTGCGAGTGCTTATCAAGTATTATAATGATAACGAGGCGAAACGTGTCCCAGCGGGGATAGAAAAAAAAAGAAGGAAATCTCCCGTTCCTTTGTCTGTTTCATTTCTTTTTTCACCGCAAACGATAGGGTAGGTTTGTACGATAATATCGTTCCACGATTGTAGGTACTTACAGCGTGTCGTCACAACCGTAACGTTGCATTTGTACAAAGCTACTTTTGAACGGTGCATTTTCGTTCGCGGCGATACCTCGGGTAGAGATGTTATATTCGTTATCGGATACGTTCAACCGTTAGGTATCTCAATCACGATCTCTCCGTTCCCGAATCCTTTCCCAAATCCCTCTCCCTTCCAATCGAAGCGAAGGCAAAACGTTTTGCAGGACAGATGCACGCTGCCCGCAGCCGCGCGAAAAGCCGAGCGCGCGCGGGTCGGATCGTTCGATCGATTTTGCGTTTTCCTCCTCCATTCCCTCTCCTCATACTGCGAATTAGCAAAAGATCATTAGTGTAATGTTTTCTGACGATCCTGTACGCCAAATCGAATTGACTTGTTACATTTGTAAATGTTTGTAAGTACTACCGTACGTAATAAAATAATCGAGTAATAATCATCGAATTGCCCTGACGATCGTGTGTCTGTCATCCAACCGAATAATTAGTTCAACCTTACAAACAACGAATAAAGCAAATCATGAGATACTGCAGCACAGTCTCACTCTTATTCTACAGGGTGTCCTAAAGAGAAGCATGACGCGGACTACTCTCGGAGAAGAATCTGTCATATTTCCTTTGCGAAGATAAGAAATTATAATTATCAGACAGAATATAGATGATTTCCAAATTGCCTATAATTGTATTAAACTTGTTTCCGCAATTTGTCAATTTAATTTTCTAGTTACTTTTAATTTTTTAATATTTTAAAATACTATTCTAAGTAACGATGTTCCTATTCAACAAAAAATTTTCATTAAGCAATTTTTTTTTAAAAAGTATATAATTAAGAAATAATCGAGTTCTCCATTATCAACTATTATCACTATTATTCGAGATTATGAACAGAAAAATATTTATCGATTACATTGTGACGAAAGAACGAGATATTTATTGATTTATATTTACACTTTCTGTCTCCGAAGAAATACCATGCGCCTGTTTAATACCCTCCGCCACGGTTTGCTGTTCCCGTTGCAATTCTTTGTACGCCTGCAGGAGCTTCTCGAGTTTATCTTTCCTCGGCGAGTCCAGGCGCACATAATGCATAATGAACTCCACATCGTCCGTGTGCTTGCACTGTTCGACTGCTGATTTAGTCGTTGGATGAATCATATGATACAGACGTATCAATAGCGCGGCATGTTCAATTTGACAATTTTCGATCATGTCGCATAACAGATTGTCAATATTGTTCGTCCATACTAAATGAAACACCATTGGTCCAAAGTGACGTGTAGACCTCAACATGTCGAAACGTCTCTCTGCATTTATATGCTCGTAGACTTCCCGGGTGACCGCCTGATAATCGGGATCATCCGGTTCAAATTGTACGCACGCACGGTCCAATATAAACTCGAATTCGTTGCGATTCAGCAAATCCTGTGAGGAAAATAGTAATTAAGTTCATGTTTATAGGAATGTTTTTATATTTTCTTTCCTGTTAATTTCTTTGCTCTTAAAAGCATTGAATTTGACATAATAGAAGCAATGTACATACCTTCAAGTATTCGCCTTCAAACATCTTTGGTTTTCGTAGTTCCTTTCCAGGTTTTGGAAGAAAGGTTTGCAATATTCTTTCTCGTTCTTCCCAATTAGCATGTCTTAATGTACCATTTGGTTCTCTAATCACTATAAATCTTTCTCTATCTTTAAGACCATATGTGATATCAGTGAACACATATTTAGCAGTACAATGATTCTGTAGCCCAGCATCTTCACATAATATCCGAATTGGATCTGATCTTTGTTTCACCACTGGTGGCATCTGTAAATTTCTTTTTGCTCTGCGTTGTGCCATTTTTGTAGCTTCCTGGAGCTCTTCATCCGTCATGAATTTATACTGCGATGGTTTGAGTTTATGTCCATCTTTACGACTTCGAAAAACTTTGTTGTAGTCCACTGTTGTCAACATTTTGAGATATTCTTGAACCTCTTTGTTAAAGAAGAACGGTGCTGGATCTTTTTCTACTGAATCTGTAAAAATTATATACAGCATGAGAGCGATAAACATTTAACTCTTTTAAAAAAAGAAAGACAAACACTTTATATTAGCAATACAAAATAATTCAGAAAAATTTATCAAGAAATGGATATTAACGTTACAAGTAACTTGTGATACAATAATGAAAGCTAACATAACAAAATGAAGCAATTGTTATTACACGGAATACAATTATTCAGATTTTTAAATAAACAGAAATATAACCTAAAAGTTTTGCTCTGTGCAGTAAAATAAAATAATGAAAATACCTGTTTCGATAGTTGCCGAGGTAAAGCCACGGCAATTCAAGATTGCACGTGGACACAAGCGACACAAAAGTTTATTTGTGTAACGTGAAAGCATAATGATCCTTAATAAGCAACAGCAACCGATATATTCCTCTCGTGTCGGCTTCAAACCACACCTCCACTCAGCGGAGCCCTAACCTCTAATCCTCATTTAATCGAAGCATTTGTAGCGCCAAGTGAACCGGACTTTCTGCACTTAAAAGAAGATAAATATATAGAATGAAATATTAAAGAGAAGAGATCAAGAAGAAAGTTCAATTGCAAGGAAGAAATATCTCAAAGTTGAAGTAAGCAAATGTTGTTTATAACCGTTTCGTATTAATTCTGTTTTAGATGATAATACGTAACAATGTGATGTTCGTGAGTCACATGTGGTTTTTTTTTTAATTTATTCTTAATTGCGAAAAACTTGTAAAGTGCTACAATTTTAATACAATTATAACTCGTTAAAGAGTTTGTGATTCTCTAGTATGTGTTGTTTGCTGAAAATTGTTCAAACCGATAAATGATTCCTATCATCCTCTTATTTATTTGACACATATTTCATGTCAATTGAGATTCTGACTAGAACTAAATTATTATTCTCCATATCTGATATCTCGAATCTTATTTACAGTATTAAACAATCTATTTTAATATATATTTCAAAGCAGGAATATGGAGTACACATTAGAAGATGCTTTTGATACACTGAAAGATAAAAAAGCAGAACAGAAAAAGAATATCGAAGATCTCATAAATAAAATATCGAACAATGAAGTCTTTTCTCTAAAATCAACCAGTTCATTAGAAGATGTGAAAAAGAAACAGAACAAGTTTTATGAAAGTTTGAAAAAGGAAATCCAACAAGTGGAACCTGAAGATTATCCAATTCTGAGAACATCTGATATACGTGTGGAAGTAATAACTGAGATGGAAGCAGAAATTCACAATATGCAGGAGCTCCTTAGCAATCTGCAGCAAAAACTTTCCGATATTCAGAATGATATCAAATAGTAAGTATGGTGGTATGAAAATTCTATTATAATTCTTAATCATTATGTCCGTTACAGTTTGAGAAATAAGGAAGATGGACTGAAAAAATTGCAAGAATCTTATCTGGATATCGTGAAGACTTTGAAGATAAAACATATGAAAAAGGAAATAATAGCCTTAACGAAACGTATATTTCTGCAAGTCAAACATGATCTGGTATTTAATTGGCAAAAAATAATAACTTGCCAAAATCTTTTATAATATAAAAATTATATAAACTTTATAAAATAAATTTCGGAACAAAAAATAATAACTGAAATATTCTTCTTGCAGTCTGTTGTGGTGGATAAAATTTTTCCAGACAATGATGGTTTCAAAGAATTATTAGCGGTATGTTCATTTTTCTACGATTCAGTTTATATTTATATATATATATTTTTTTTTACAAAGTTAATTATATAAATTATGATTTCAGGCACTAACGTCAGCTTACATGAAAGGCGGAGATGATATGTATATAGATGTTACACCAAATACTTTAAATTATATAAATTTTTTATTGGAAGCTGATATAATACAATATCATCGTAATGACAAAACTAAGATTAAAATGACTGAATTATTATGATCTGATAATTATCTAATATTTTATAACTTGTAATTTTAATGCACTAACAATAAGTGTAATATTAAATTAGAGAAACTTTTATTTGATATTTGTTAAAGCCATAATTATACAATAATATAAATATTTTTTACCATAAGAAAGGAGATCTTTCCCTTAAAATCCTAACGCCCCAGCGATGCCATTCGGTTCGAGCAATCCATAATTCCTGGGCAGATTCTAAACAACTTAGAATTCCTGCACCTTTCCATGTCGTCATACCAGGATCCATATCCTTTGGTTGTGTTATGATATCTAGTTGTTCTGCAAAAAAAATCAAATGCAAAGCATAATTTTTTTCGCACATTATAATGCGAAATGGAATTATGGAATTATGGAATGGAATAATGAAATTAATCGAATAAGAGTCTAGAAGAACATACCGGGCCTATACATGTAAGGAATTTGAAGGGATATTCGGTTGCGAAGCCACATACCGATACCTTTAAACTTCAAACCCGATCCAACGACTAACACACAGCTGTACATTTTTCTCTTGAGATCTTCGTTAGCTGTTATATAGAACTGAGATTAACACTATATGCCAAAATATATTATCTACTCGTTTACTACAAATATTTTTCTACTAACAACATCGCTCGATGCTTTGTAATATGGCTTGATCAAGACCTAATAATTGTTGTGGGACTACAAAATCTCGAGGAGCATCTAAATCACGATTCAACAAACTAGGCGCAGAATCACCAACGGCATCAACTACGACCTCATCATCACCTGCAGCTGCGGGTACAGTCGCCGTCTCCTCTTGTATCTCTGACGAATGATCCAGAGTTTCTTTCATCCCACGTCTCTAAAATAAAAAAACAAATAAATCGAACTTGGATACATATTAAAATAGAAACATCACATTTAAAATAAGGAACGACCACTTACACTCGTTTCTCTTAAATAGTTCTCATCATAAGGGTCTTCTGGGTCTCCTAATGATCGCTTTTGAACGTGAACATTATGCGTTCCAGTAATTCTGAATAGTTCAGGTTGAAATAAGCTTAAAGGTGCTATTAAACATTCATCGCCCACCTGTTATAAACTTCAGAGTAAGTTCAATATTGCAATAATTATTTAATTTTTAAAAAATATAAATAAAATTTTTAATACTTGTATAGTATACGTTTCCGTTTGTTGTTTGGGCTTTGCGACGACAAAGGTTTTTTCTTGTGAGCCGCATACATTTAAATCCACGTGACAAAAATCTATCTTCAGCTGATCTAAGAGCAGCGCATCTAATTTATTAATAGGATCACACGATTTATACGGAAATGCAGATTTTTGCAAAAGCCAGAAGAAAGTCTGTGTGACATCTGCACCACCATAATCCATACGCACACGTGTATCCTTGTGAGAAATCGCATCTTCCACGCATGATACCGATATTTTCTGAGCTCCAACATCTACGATACATGCATAACCCAATCCTGCTCCAAACATTGCACCTACATGATCCTATCAATGATGAAATGGTATTTGAAAAATATTGCAACTTGAATTTCAAATTACAACTCCTTACGTTAACGACTGAGTATAACATTTTGAACACAAAAATAAGAATTATCTTTCTGAGAAATATATATAATGAATATATTATAGGTACACACAAACTAACTTGCAGTAGAATACAGCGACCAAAACCAATCTCATCCAGCAAGAGCGTTGTTAATTCTTTTAAATATGGTCGGTGATAAATATCAGGTATAACGAGCACTGCGCGATAATGCTTCAGATCTCTAAGAGGAATATCCAGCTTCTCAGTCAATACATATTCCCAGATGGTTTTTAAATCTGCCATAACAGCCGTTATGCTGCCACCTGGTCCCGAATGTATATTAAGCTCTCCTCTTTTATATGGAAAATGAATATTAAAATTGGTTTCTTCTTCAGGATCTAACGACAAGATATCATCACCAACGATTATATCACGATCAGTCGTTGTCCATTTCATGTTGCTAGGAGAAGAAATTTCCGGACTAGATCTGCGATTAAAAGCTGCTATCTGTTGAGGTGGAGTCGCATATCTTCGGCTTCCATCAGATTGCAAACAGGATTGTAAAGTATGTGATACTTGCAGCCGAGATTCTTCCATTGCTTGTGTTAACTCTTTTGTCTATCAAAGAGAATGACAAATAGAAATGCGATAACAATAAAATTCTATCATATATTTATTCTAATACTTACTAGTGTTACAGTTGGAGGCAAGAGAGTATCCTTATATTTTGTTCCATTTGCTAAACGTCTTCTCGCCACAGCATGTAGTAATGTAATAGGTTTTAAGTCAGAAGCACGACCCATGCGAAGATACATAGAACCTGGATGAATAACAATAATGGTTTGTGCTTGGATTTGCTGAAAAAACATCAGTCATTATGAGAGCACCTTAACAGTTGTGAGATTAATTATAAATAACAGGAGTATAAATATATAATAATAAAAAAAGTTAAGATGAATTTCGTAAATATCAATCCTGTATATCAACATTAATAACAAAGAAAAATAATTACTTCAGCTTCTTGATAAACTGGCATTTTCGTTGACATTCGATATTGCAATAATAATCAAAATTTCTTCGTGTTTTTGTTCTTCTCATATATACGAAGAAGAGTCTTTCTTTTTAAAATAACTATATAATACACGATATTACATATGTATATATAACTATTTATATTTTCTCTCCTTTATACTTTTCTTTTGTTGATGTTCTTTTTTAATTATTTTTTGCAAAAATATTTAAAAATTATTATATAGTTTATAATTATATGATATTTGTGTTTAAAATACTGAAATCTTCCTAGTAAACATCACAATATTCAGGACATCGTATTTTTAAAAGCTTGTGAGATAGGTTATGTTTCCCATTGTTTACTTCCGAGAAAAGGTCTGTCCACATGTAGAAGAGTCAACTATAGGCTTGTTCTTTTTGGCTGAATTGATTGTACTAATTTATCTTTCTTTCTTACACTGGAAGAAGAAAGATAAACTCTGAACTAGTCAGCCAGTTTAGCTAAAAAGAACAGACCCCATAAAAAGATGTATTGATGCAGTAGTCAGAATAATTCAGTCAATTTACATCTGCTCTCATTTATGGTAAATTTTGATGTAGCATTAAATATATTTCTTAGTTGATATTGAACTAATTTTTCCACTACACAAAATATCTGCAATTTTTAAATAATAAGATTCTATAAAAATAATATATTAAAAATAATAAAGACAAACTAATTTTTATTTCTGAAATTTAATGCGTAAAGTTTTTATAAATGTAATAGTATTATCTTTAACAGTAATTCGAAAGTTTTGAGTACTTCAATAGTCTTATTCATAAAAAATATTTCAAATCTTATTAGATGCCTGACATTATTCCGTTTATTCTTTTTTTCTATTCTGTGTCAGAACGTTATTTATATATTATTTATAATTATTCGCATAATTGAGCTTGAATCTTTATTATATTAAGAATCAAAGTTTCATGTATGACATTTTAGGATTACGATCATCACGTAATTCACACAACTCTCGCGCATTTCCTTTATGGAAATCAGCAAGAATAACTTTAGTAGTTGCGTAATTTCTTCATCCATCGCGATCCTATCAGGCGATGAAGAGGAGAAGGCGTTCACGTGGCCGAGCGAACGGAAGGGAATATCCATGGCATATACGATGCCCGGTCACGTGGCCGCGATAGTCCACGTGCTTTCGCGTCTTATCGCATGTTACGTAAGCGAAAACGCGCCGCTCGCAATCGCTGACGGCGATTATATTCTGCGAATATTAATTAACGACTTGTAATCAAAGTCGTCGTCTCTATGTGCATTTTATTTAATTAACAATGGCGAGTATGAGTGCATCGAGGCACTGGGTCGGAGCATGTCCTTCGTTACGTAAGACATAACGGCGATGGCGTTGACGGGAATATCAAGCGATTGACGAGGGGCTGCCCTCTAATTTCACAGCTGAATTGAATATCGTTTCTCGCTTTTAATGTACATGATAGGCGTTTAGAGCTCTCGAAAATATTAAGAATAAAGAAATTTAAATATCAGGAAGATTTTTAAATGTCATCAATTATGGGACACGTGTAGCATTTGAACTTTATGTATGAAGTGTATAATCGGTATCGTTTTGCAATGGATCCAACTTGAAAGAAATTCTTTCTTACCTTCCCTTTAGGTTGAATAAAATATTTGTTATAATATATTCGTTAATAGTCGGAGAGATTGCAAATCTTTCTCTTGCTTCCTGAAACACACAATAATGATTTCATGGAAAAGTTTTATTAGTAAAAAAGAATTGATATTCTTCACTGTAATTAAAAAAAAAGTTCTGTTTTGTTAGTTATAGATTTCAAAAAAGAATCTTGGAGTCTACGAGACATAATATAATAAAGATAAAATAACAAAAAAAAATAAAATAATGTATAAAGTACAGAAATCGTTAATATTTTTTCATCATAATGTTTAAAATTTCTTTAAATATTTATTAATTTTTCGCATATTTCTACTCATGTATATATTTAACGGAACATTAATAACAAGAACATTACCACAAGAACATTACAAGTTACCACTAATTCTATATGAAAGAACTTTATTAATATTTTGGATTTCACATAAAAAAATAAACCAATTAAGTGGCCAGAGAAATTAGATAGATAATGTTATACCTTAAAGAGATAATGATTTTTAAATAATCTAATTTAGAAAAATTTTATATAAGATATTCTTTATTTTTCTTCAGTTTTTATTAATTAAATTTAACAAAAGAAGCTGCGTCTTTCTACTGCTAAATATTTGTAGAATCATGTTGCATTCACTGCACTTCCTTTCCTTGCGTGATAAAAGGAAATACACCCCCCAAGGCGATGCTTCATTATATATATATATATATATATATATCATTGTACGAATACGAGACGTACGTACAAGAATTCTATTAAGATTCTTATTGTCATGATATTTTTTTGTGCGATTTCTCATGAATTTGAGAAAATACGTTTCGAAAATACACTTTTTTCTGTTATACGAAGATTGCTTCTTTAAAAATTATAAGATTACTTCTTTGTTGCCATTTAATTTAATCGATCCTGTAAACCTTTCAAAAAATTTCAAGAGCACAATATCAATTAATGCAAATTCTATTTGATATCTAAAGATCTTTTCTCATAAATATGTTGAAACAAGTAAAATTTTAAATTCTGTAATATTTCATTTTTATTTTCATATTCAACAGAAATAATCTGTTAGATAATATTAACTATATTGAAACAAGACGCCCGAAGGCATAATATCATGAGAGAAGCTTTTTCTAAGGACTTTGAACGAAAGAAGCTGCGATAGGGGTAGTAATACGGGATTGGACCAATGATTGGACCAATGACAGGAGGGGTTGCGCCGTGGTTCGAGTAGACGCGGGATATGATTCACAAATGCGAGACAGTCGACACGCGTCCTTCGAGACGTTTGTGTATCTTTCGATACTTTGAGAAGTTGTTAAAAATTTTTGTTTCGAAAAAGTGATTATTATTCTACGACATATTTCGAATTATACCACGCGATCTCTCAATAATTCATTTAAGTTTATGAACATATCCGGACTTCGGTCACAGCTGAAATGATTATCATATTTTTAAAATTAAATTCTTTTCTTCTAATGAATAACGTTATTTTAAAATTTAAAGTAGTATGTGTATTCGAATAAATTTTTTCCAAGGAATGTTAATCATTATTTTTAATTAATTATTTTCACCCATCTATTGTTTATTACTTAGTCTTATTTGGTTTGGTGTTTTTGTCATAATACAAAAATTGATACGAAATTTCATTATATTTATTTCATTTTATATTTTATATTTTGTTATAATTATTATAATTAAGTATTTTATCTTTAATATTTCTTTGTAACAGAAATTAATAAATTAGATATGTTTTTTATTAGGAATGTTGAATTAAGATACATCATTCTATATCAATTTTATTTTACAATATTGATCGAATCTTAAAATTCATTCTTTATATCGCTTGAAGTGTTCCGAAGAATGGAAGAGTTTATTACCGGGGCTGACTAGTGCGAACTTGAACTACTGATGGAAAAACGAACGGGAAGATATTAGTAAGATCTCATTTGGCGCAGTGTTGTGGAATTAAACTTGACAAAATATAAAAAAAATTAATGAGAATATTAATTATTAATGATTGATTTATAATTAATTTATGGTTATTTTCTGTCTACATGCCTACATTTTATATACATATATAAAAAAATTCCTTTTTATCTAAGAAAGATAGACCAGCAATACTGCTTTATTAAATACACCTTTATCTTTAATTTATCTATAACGTGTTGTATTAATTATTTTGTCAATAACAATTTTTAAAATATTATAAAATATTTTGAATCTGAAATTGAATCAATAACAGATGTACAAAGAAATTTGATCACGCTTTTACTATTTAATTTTTAGCCTTTCGCAAAATGATAGGAAAAGTTTGAATCGAATTCTTTCATACCTAAATAGTAACGTTCAAACAATGGTTTAACAATGGAGGATTTTCTATCTCAGATATCTATTGGCCTCTTTCAATTCATATGAAGCAACTTATTTGATTATGATTCAGTTTAGTAATATGAGTAAAAAATATATTTAACTTCAATTAATTTATTGTTAACACTAAATTGCGAGTAAAAATTTTCTTACACATCAATTCAGAACAATTTTATCATAATATTTAATAAACGTGCAATTTATTGTTAAACCAATTTTGCTTTATTATTAATTATATTGCTATATTGTTAATTATATTGCTAAATAATATTAATATCCTAATTATTATACTTGAAAAATTGATTAATGCAATATTATTCTTTTGTAAAAGAAGGTATTTACATTTAAAACTGAAATATTTGGAATTCAATACATGAATAAATATCAATAATATTAACAGTACTGAGTTAATTAACAATAATTTATTTATTTTAGTCAATAGAAAAGGATAATTTATTTCAGTTTATACGCGAAATAAATATGATCGAATATGCATTTATTTGTACTATCAGTTTCTAGGAGCAATTTCATCTCTAATGAGTCTTCGCGGTCAAGTTTAATTACGAAATTGCATTAGGGATTAATTATTATGGTTGAAAACATCTCGTATATCCTTTGTGGATCTATATATCTAAACTATATATCTAAACTACACACACACACACACACACACACACACACACACACACACACACACACACACACACACACACACACACACAACTAATAAATATAATATATATATATATATATATATATATATATATATATATATATATA